GGAAGTAGATTGCCCCATCTTCCTTCTGAGGAGTGGCTGGTGGGTTTGAACTGCCAGCCTTCTGGTTAGCAGTCAAGTGCTTTAGGCAAAATGCTTAGCAAATAGAAAGTGCTACAAAAATGTGAGCTATTATTATTATTGTTACTATTGCTATCAAATTATCATTCCATTTATTCTATCAATGTTGATAATTCTTTTCATGAGGATACAGACATTCTTTTTACAAACAGAGAAAATATAAACATGAAAATACAACTGAAAGAGGCAACACATTGGTTTTAATGCATATTCTATTAAGGCAAATAATTAATATTGGACCCCTTCCTAATCACAAGTTTGGTCAGGAAAAAAACACACAGCAGACTAGGTACCCTGCAGAAAAACTTCAGTTGTCACAATTTGGCCTACTTCTGGTCCTGGAAAGAAATGTCATCACTTTACATTACATATAAAGGAAAGCTCATTTAAAGTTCGTATCAAGAAGCATGCCTGTCAAGCTAACAGGATACATGAGTCCTTTCTATCATGTAGCTTTTGGAAATTTAATTCATGACCTGTAAGAGTTATAAAAAAAAAAAAAAAAAAAAAAAAAAACCTCACTGGTGGCATAGTGCCTAAGGCATGAGACTGCTAACCAGAAGGCTGGCCGTTCAAACCTACCAGCCACTCCTCAGAAGGAAGACTGGGCAATCTACTTCTGTAGTGATGTCGTCTTGGAAACCCAAGGAGGCCTCGTTATGAGTTGAATTGACTCGAGGGCAGGGTTTTTTTTTTTTATTATTATTATTTATATGAGTTATAATAATAACGAATAGTATAACAATAGAATTTTATAGTACTTGATGAATCTATAAGGAGCTCTGGTGGCTCAGTGCCTAAGGCATTTGACTGCTAACCAGAAGACTAGCCATTCAAATCCACCAGGTGCTCTGTGGAAGGAAGATGAGGCAATCTAATCCGTAAAGATTTACTGCCTCGGAAACCCCAGTGAGGGGCCTTATGAGTTGGAATCAATTCGATGGCAGTGAGTTTTTTTTTTTTTTATTTTGATGAATCTGTAGACTATAATGTTTTGGGTTTCTTTTTCTTTTTTCCCTCAGTGAAACAATCCTCCTCTTGTTGCACTTTCCTCTAAACCTGATTCCACAGCAGAGTTCCTGTAAACTGCTAGTTATCAATGTTACTTTTAGTATAGGTCTTTAGATGTTTCCCACCTCAAAAATCACTTGAAGTTGCTAGCCATCTTTCTTTAAACTTTAAACCTAGAGCTTTGGGGTTGGAAATGCAGATAGTCTGATTTCAAAGGAATCACAGGAACTGGGAAGGAAAAGCAAACAGCATGAGTAAAGATTAATAAAGCACATTTAAGGTGACACATACAGGAGGAATCAATTTGTCAAAAGTCCAGGAGTGAGTTACCTTCCTCAGACCTGTAGAGTCATCTTCAATGTTATCTGGCAGCAGGATGATCATGCTGAGCTCATTGTCTTGGTAGGGCAGTTCTAACACACGGCATTTCAGTTCCTGGATGTAGCCATATGGAAATCTCGCCTTCTGATGCATCATTTTCACTGTTTTTGTGTCTTTCTGAGCAGTTGAAAAGAATAACACTCAAATTAACCGCATTTTTTTCGAGCAAGAATTTTTTTTTTTTTTTAACTTTTTATTGTGATTTTTGGGAAAATTTGTACAGCAATTTGGTATTCCATTCAATAACTCATATACTTTTTGTTTTGTGACATTTATTATAATCCCCACAATGTGACAACACTCAACCCACTTCCTCTGTGTGGTTGCCATTTCCATTTGTCCTTCTTTCCTACCACTTCCTACCTTCTAAGTTTTATCCCTGGGCAAATGATGCCCTTTTGATCTTATATGGTTGATTGTTCTAAGAAGTGTGTACTTCCCTGGTGTTATTGTTCATCCTATAGGCTTGTGTATTGTTTGGCTGAAAGTTGAGCCAGGGGGTGAGTTCAGTTCTCAGGGTGAAGGGTGAATAAGGGCCACAGTCTCAGGGATTCTACCAGTCTCTACTAAATCACTAAGCCCATTTTTTTAAAAAAATTATTATTATTCTGAGGTCCCCCACACACACATTTTTCTTCTACTCTATCCAGGACCTCTCTCAAAGTGGTTGGCAGTGGTTGTTGTTGTTAGGAGCTGTGGAGTTGTCTCTGACTCATAGCGACCTTACGTACAACAGAATGAAACACTTCCCAGTCCTGTTGCCAGCTTCACAATCCTTGCTACACCTGAGCCCATCACTGCAGCCACTGTGTCAATCCACCTTGTTGAGGGCCTTCCCATTTTTGTTGACCCTACACTTTACCAAGCATGATATCCTTCTCCAGAGAATAGTCCCTTCTGACAACATGACCAAAGTAGGTGAGATGAAGTTTGGCTATTCTCATTTCCCAGAAGCATTCTGGCTGCACTTCTTCCAAGACAGATTTGTTAATTCTTTTGGCAGTACATGAAATTCTCAGTATTCTCTGCCAACACTACAACTCAAAAGCATCAACTCTTCTTCAGTCTTCCTTATTCATTGTCCAGCTCTCATGTGCATATGAGGTGATTGAGAATACCATGGCTTGGGTTAGGCACAGCTTAGTCTTCAAGGAGACATCTTTGCTCTTCATCACTTGAAAGAGCGTTTTTGCAGCAGATTTTCCCAGTGCAATATACATTGTCTGCTGTCTTGACTGCTGCTTCCATTGGTGTTGACTGTAGAACCAAGTAATATGAAGTCTTTGATAACTTCAGTGTTTTCTCCATTTATTGTGATGCTGCTTATTGGTCCAGTTGTGAGGATTTTTGTTTTCTTTATATTGAGGTACAATCTATACTGCAGACTGTAGTTTTCAATATTCATCAATATGTGCTTCAAGTTATCATCACTTTCAGCAAGCAAAGTTGTGTCATCTGTGCATCAAAGGTTGTTAATGAGCCTTCCTCCAATACTGATACCATGTTCTTCTTCATATAGTCCAGCTTCTCGGATTATTTGCTCAGCATACAGATTGAACAAGTGTGGTTAAAGGATACAACCCTGACACACTCCCTTCCTGATTTTAAACCACGCAGTATCTCCTTGTTCTGTTTGCATGACAGCCTCCTGGTCTATGTACAAATTCCTCATGAGTACAATCAAATGTTCTGAAATTCCCATTATTCTCAATGTTATCCATAATTTGTTATGACCCACATAATCAAATGCTTTTGCATAGTCAATAAAACATAAGCAAACATCTTTCTGGTATTCTTGCTTTCAGTCAAGATCCATCTGACATCAGTAATAATATCCTTCATTCCACATCCTCTTCTGAATCCAGCTTGAATTTCAGGAAGTTCTTTGTCAATATACTGCTGCAACCATTTTTGAATTGTCTTCAGTAAGATTTTACTTGCATGTGATATTAATGATATTGTTCGATAATTTCCACATTCTATAGGATCACCTTTCTTTCAAATGGGTACAAATATGGATCTCTTCCAGCCAGTTGGCCAGGTAGCTGTCTTCCAAATCTCTTGCCAGAGCCAAGTGACTGGCTCCAGCAGGGCATCTGTTTGTTGAAATATTTCAATGGACAGTCTGTCAATTCCTGGAACCTTGGTTTTTTTTTTTTTTTTTTTTTTTTTGCCAATTCCTTCAGTACAGCTTCGAACTCCTCCTTCAATACCATTGGTTCTTGCTCATATGTCACTTCCTGAAATGGATGAACACCAACAAATTACTTTTGGTACAATGACTCTGTATATTCCTTCCATCTTCTTTTGATGTTTCCTACATCAGTCAACATTTTGCCTACAGAATCTTTCAATTTTGCAACTTGAGGCTTAAATTTTTCCTTCAGTTTTTTCAGCTTGAGAAATGCTGAGCTTGTTCTTCTCTTTTGGTTTTCTAACTCCAGGTCTTTGCACATTTCATTATAATAATTGACTTTGTCTTCTCGAGCTGCTCTTTGAAATCTTCTGTTCAGCTCCTTTATCTTGTCATTTCTTCCATTTTCTTTAGCTACTCGCTGTTCAAGGACAAGTTTCAGAGTCTCTTCTGACTCCATTTTGGCCTTTTCTTCCTTTCTTGTCTTTTTAATGACCTTTTGCTTTCTTTGTGGATGATGTTCTTGATGTCATCCCACAATTCCTCTGGTTTCTGAGTCACTGGTGTTCAGTGCATCAAATCTATTCTTTAGATGGTCTCTAAATTCAAGAGAGATATAATCAAGGTCATATTTTGGTTCTCGTGGACTTCTTTTAATTGTCTTCAGCTTCAACTTGAACTTGTGTATGAGCAGTTGATGGTCTGTTCCACAGTCAGCTCCTGGCCTTGTTTTGGCTACAGCTTCTCCATTGCCTCTTACCACAGATGTAGTCAATTTGATTCCGGTGTAGTCCAACTGGTAAAGTCCAAATGTATAGCTGCCATTTGTGTTGTTGAAAAAAGATATTTGCAATGAATAAGTCGTTGGTCTTGCAAAATTCTATCATGCAATCTCCAGTGTTATTTCTATCACCAAGGCCATATTTCCCAACTACCAGTGATTCTTCTTGTTTTCCAACTTTTGCATTCCAATCACCAGTTATAATTAACAGCTACTGATTGCATGTTCAGTCCATTTCAAACTGCAGGCATTGGTAAAAATCTTCAATTTCCTCATCTTTGGCTTTGGTGGCTGGTGTAAATTTGAATAATAGTAGTATTAACTGGTCTTCCTTGTAGGCATGTGGATATTATCCTATCACTGACAGCACTGTACTTCAGGATAGATCTTGAAACATTCTTTGTGATGATGAATGCCACACCATTCCTCTTCAAACTGTCATTCCCAGCGTAGTAGATCATATGGTTGTCTGATTCAAAATGGTCAAAACTAGTCCATTTCAGCTCATTTGACTGCTAACCAGAAGGCTGGCGGTTCAAACCCACCAACCACTCCTCGGAAGGAAGGTTGGACAATCTACTTCCTTAGTGATACCACTTCAGAAACCCAAGGAGGGGTCACTACAAGTCATGTCTGACTCAATGGCACACAACAACAACAGCAACAATGCCTAGGATATTGATCTTTATTCATTCCAATTTATTTTTGAGAACTTCTAATTTTCCTAGATTCATGCTTCAGACATTCCATGTTCTGATTATTAATGGGTGTTTGCAGCTGTTTCTTCTCATCTTGAGTCATGCCACATCAGCAAATGGAGGTCCCAAAAGCTTTACTCTATTTACATCATTAAGGTCAGCTCTACTTTGAGAAGGCAGCTCTTCCCCAGTCATATTTTTGAGTGCCTTCTGACCTCATGAGCTCATCTTCTAGCACTATATTGGACAATGTTTCAGGGCTATTCGTAAAGTTTTCTAGTAATGTATCAGACAGTGCTTCACTGCTATTCATAAAGTTTTCACTGGCCAATTCTTTGAGAAGTGGATGGCCTCTTCCTTCTTCTGAGTCTGTCTTAGTCTGGAAGCTCCTTTGAAACCTGCCCACCAAGGGTAACCCTGCTAGCATTTGAAATACCAATGGCATAGCCTCCAGCCTCACAGCAACATGCAAGCCACCATAGTACAACAAACTGACAGACATGTTTGTCTTCCTTTGTTGTTCCAAACTGCTCTGCTCATCTGGCAGTGGTAGATGTACCATTTAGTTCTTCTAGTCTCAAGATTGTGAAGGCTGTTCATCCTTTGGACTAATTATTCTTGTGAATTTTTTATTTTCTTTGGAGAGCAATAAATAATTTTTGAGAGTTACCTTTCCTTACCTTATTCAGTCTGAATGGGGCATTGGTCGTGGCCTCTTTCATGAATTTCTCCTTCCAGTCTCCTTTGAAATAGATGGCATTCACCAGCACAAGCTTAGTTGTGTTGTCAACCACACCTGAAGCCAATAGTTCTGGAATTTTCCCTAAAAAGATAAAGTAAGGTTTTTTAAAAATCCATGCCAGAATTCCATATTTGAACTAATGTTCAAAAAGTAGGAGAGTTACTCCACTGAACAAAGGACGTGACCACAGACCTGGAGCAGTTCCTGGTTTAGCAGTCAAGTATTCTGTAGGTGCTCTGACTCATACAATTATGGACGTTGGAAGAGAGACTGGTCAAATAGATAAATTGAGCCTGAAACAAGTCAATTCTCACCCCAACAAGTCAATTCCCATCTTGCCAAAGAAAACATGCATGATTTCTTTGGCAAGATATTGAAAGACAATAAAGTTTGTGACTACTGATTCATTATCATGTTCCATTCCATATATGTATTAAATATATTTGGGCAGGCTGGATTTTTCTCACAATGTTTCTTCTGTTTGTTCTACGTATAATATTACTGTAATTTCAAAATGTCATTTGGGAGAACTTGTGTACAAAAAAATTAGCTACTTTAGTTCAGTCAGGTTTAAATTGTTACTTTGGTGAGTTTCTAATATGTAGAAGCTGTCTAGCAAATAAGGGAGTAGACTTCTCATACACATGCCACCATCAGACTGTGAGCATGTGTCAGTGGATAGAGGGGAGGGACATGGAAAAGAGAGAGTGAAGGAAATGCAGGTGGAGACAGTGGGATGGAGGAAAAGAAACACTGGTACAAACAACCACCTATGGCTCAGTCTCTTACCTTCTGTCTGGCTTTTGACCCACTTGTTTATCTCTTTCCTTGCCTCCTCAAAGGCATGCTGGAAATCCACACTGGCCAAGTCAGCTCCATACATCTTCTGAGTTGATGCCAAGAACTCCTTTAAGGAAAGAAAGAAAGGAAAAAACGTGTAGCATAGTGGCTAAAGCACTTGACTGCTAACCAGAAAGCTGGCGGTTCAAACCCCCCAGCCACTCCTCGGAAGGAAGGTTGGGCAATCCTACTTCCGTAGTGATACTGCCTCAGACGACACATAACAACAACAACATATAGAAATACTTTCCTAAAATCCTTGAAAGTTACAGAAATCATCCTAAAAGGCTGAATTCCTCTGACACGGTAAGTTTTAATGTTTATACTTTTGATGCTTCATAAAATTTAAAAATTCTTTTCATAAAGACTTCTGATAAACATTTTTACAAATGAGCAAATACTAACTGTAATTCAATGTAGCTAAAATGAATCCTGGAACCATCTCTCTCTGCAGGGACTGTGGCACATAACCATCATATCACCTAATGGAATTCTTGTCTGCACCATGTTTTCCTTTCTATAGTTTTACCGCAGGTTCTAATCTCATAAATCACAAACAAACCAAGGTGATACTGAAATTGAATGCTTCTGAATATTAAAGCTGACCTTTGTGCTGTGATGGTGCTGAAAAATCCACACTGCTGGGTGGAGTTTTAGAATACAAAGTACTTACAGGGAGGATGTGATAGGTTTTCTCTCCGTATAACCTGTTGGCCAGTTTCAGAATGTAGGAAGCACCACGTTTGTTGATATCAGCGTTCAGACTCTGAAATCTCGAATGAACGTCCTTAACCTCATCGAAATGAAATGTCTAAAATAAAGAAACCTTTCTATGACGATTTACTTTGAAATTATAAAGTTATTTTTCAGTGTTTGCTACCGTCAAGTTAAAGTAGTGTGTTTCTATTACTATTATTGATTATTCTCAGCCGAGAACGTTATTAATTTTTCATTGAGGAACAAACAACAGAGAATTCAAAATTTATAGCTTTATGAAATTACTGCTTTTACATCACTTTCGTTGTAAATGTGTTCCACAAATATGAGTGGTTAATAACTAAACATTTGCATACATCTGCTTTATCAAAGAAAAACAAAAATGGATGTCTACATTTATATTACATATCAAATACAATTTTACTGAGTCTCAGGAATATATATAAGAATCATTACTAAGGCAGGAACACATTGAGGTTTTTTTTTTTTTTTTTTTTATGACCTTATAAGTAACTCTCTTATTTAAAACTAGTATTTTTAATCTTAGATTTCTGACAAAAGTTTCATTTCCCAAGCATCAGTTATAAATCAAGCGGTCCTTTGTGGTTTTATGAGGCCTGGGTTGTACCTTGCTTTTAAGACACAATGAACTACACTACACAGCTGTGCAAAGTCCATGCTATTCACATAGATATGGAATGTCTGCATAATTACTATGACCAATCCAGCAATATTAATCTGCTTTAAAGGAAATAAGAGGGAGAAGAATCCTTAAAGGCAATGACACCAACTTCTCCACCATAGTGTGTTTCCTGTGTCTCATTATTCCTGGGACCAGAAAGTTCTTTATAATGCCCCACCTGAACCTACCTATATATTTAAAAAATAATTTTGATGTCTGGCAAGTATACTGGGTGACAGCCATAGCAGCATTGTTCATCATACTTAACATACAATAGCATTGTTCATCATGCTCAAAGGTAAGATTACATAATGGATATTATTTATGACTTACATGTTATCATATTCAAAGCAGAAACCTGAACTCCTAGCCAAGAAGCAGATGCTGGGTCTAAGCAGAAGGCTTTCAAAGCACCTCCTGGGGAGAGGGGGCCGCAGGGATTTCTGTGGGCCTTATAAACAGCTGTACCCTCAGTATCAAAAAGAATACCAGGCATATGTGGGAGCTCAGTAAAGGTTTGATGAGGAATGAAATCCTGCACACAGTGGTTGTGCCTTGGGCTTTTTCGGTAAATCTAATCTCATGAGACATATTATAGGAGCTACAAGGTACAACTTTTTATACAAACTTTAAATTAGGAGGAAGACTGAAGGAGACAGATTTTGTTTTGCTGACCTTGGACAGCTGTACTGCTGTGTTGCCCCTGGTCCCCAGAAAGACCATGGCAAGTGCCGAGGAAATGCTGAAGGGAGAGAAGAAGATATTTCCTGTTGGATTGTCCTCATTCAGGGTGCGGAACAAGTCCAAGGCGAAGTGGGTGTTGGCAGTACTCAGCTGTTCCATGGTCACCAGCTAGGATACAGAACAGAGGCCTAAGCTTACATGGACCCCCACACACTGGGCAGCAGTGTCCCAGTCATTGGCTCAGCCTGCGCCTGTGCCCAGGAACTCCCTAGAATGTGTGCTTTATACCCCTTTACTCAGGAGGACAAGAAACCTATCTTTTCCCCCTATTTAAACTGCGCAAGGAGTCTATAGGTATAATGGAACTGCCCAAGGGTTCTAAAGGGCTGCTGAGAGGGACTACATCGCACCACGCCAGGTACAGCCAGCCAGCCCTCGGTCCCTTCACGCCTAGCTTGGCAGTTCCAATGATCCTCATGTTTGAAATCCTGTCACTAACATTTGGAAGTTCAGCCTCCAGCTGGTGTAGGGTGTAAGAGAGTCTGAAAAGCCTTGCCAAGTTTCGCTTGGTTGTTCCACGGCGTCTGGAATGGCTAACTACTGGCCTTTGCTTCTGAACTCAGCGCCACTGCCTCTGACACCCTTGGTTTCCAAAAAAAAAAAAATGACCCCCATGAAGTGGATGCCAGCTCACAGTGACCTTTTAGGGCAGAGTAGAACTGCCAAAGCTGTAATTTTTACCTAAACAGACTGCCTCATTTTTCTTCTGCAGAGCAGCTGGTGGGTTCAGACCACTAATCTTTTGGTTAGCAGCCAAATGCCCTAGCCACACTGCACCACCAGAGTTCCCTCCTGAAGAGATAAGCAAGCAGTAATAAAAGTGTGCTGGCCGCGGAGCGTCCGAGTAATGAGTGGAGTTACTATTAATGTTTGCTCAATAATTTCTAGGTTAGCCAGACCTCCTCCTTTCTTATCCCTCAGCCCCAAAGGGAGAAGAAATTAGCCCTCAGCTGGGGCTGCCTGGGTAACACAAACAGCTCGGAAAAGAACGCACTTCCGCGAGAAATAAAACACCCCGACCTCAGCTTTTGCTTTGTGCCTCTCTGGAGGACGCCCAGTCCGGTACGCCCTCCTCCCGCTCTCTTCAGCTGGGCTGGCACTCGCGCCCCGGAAGCGCACAGGAGCCCCGGACTGGTGCGCGCCGACCGCGGCGGGGCTGCATGTCCCTACCGCGCGGATAGGGCGGCCCGGGGCTTCTGCTGAGCCATGCACCCTTCCCGGACCCGCTCGGGCCCGGCCCTTACCGGCTTGCTAGGACAGGTCAGCGGCAGGGTGAGGCCGGGAAGGAAGCGCCTGAGCCTTATAGTGCGCGGAGGAGGTGTGTCCAGTAGTCCCAGGGCGGGCCTGCCTGGGGTGTCTTCTCCCTGACGACTTCCTGGTCGTTGTCGCTGAGAGTGCTGGCTGTGATTCCTTGGGGCATCAGTGCCATCCTGATTTCTTCTTCTTTGCCTTTCTCCAAATCTCTGGCAAGAATCTGATAGACTACTTCTTACTAAGGTGTAAATGACTGAGAAGACGGAAGTATCACCTCTTGTTGTTGTTGTTGGTATGTGCCTTCAATCAGACAGACTCATAGCTATGTAAGTAGATTGCCCAACCTTCCTACCCAGGAGTGGTCGGTGGGTTTGAACCGCCAGCCTTCTGGTAGCAGTCAATAGCCTTAGGCACTATGCTATCAGAGCTCCTTGTTGTTGTTATGTGTCCTCCAGTCGGACCCCACTCATAGCAACCCCTTCCTTGGGTTTCTGAGGCAGTATCACTACGGAGGTAGATTGCCCAACCTTCCTTCCCAGGAGTGTCTGGGAAGTCATCAGCCTTTAACCATCAGCCTTCTGGTATGCAGTCAAGTGCCTTAGGCATTAAGCTACCAGAGCTCCTCAACAAACAGTAATTCCTTTGAGTCCCATCTATATTCCAAACTCTGTTTTTTGTGGAAACAAATCTGGGGACTCTTGAACAGGGAAGAGGATAGATTGCAAAAACTGGCATGTGTATCACTGACTTTCAGGTACCAAACTGAGCTCAGCTCCTAGGTCTCTGTTCACAGGTGAAGACTGCCCCAGGCAGATCAACCCACATCCCCACTTCATTGATAACCCAGATAATGATATGTTTATTGGACAGAGTGCTCTTGACTTTAGAAGAAATTACAGAAAACTGAAGGGAGCATGATGATTGGCATTGGACACTTAGTGTAGTGCTTGAGTCTCTAAGAGCAAAGCTCAGTCCAAACGAAAGTGACATATTTGGGGGTTTGTTATCAGCAAAGGATGAAGGGAATCATGACCTGAGAGAAAGCAAGCCATTTGCCAACTAGTCCCACCACAGATACACAAACAACCTAGAGGATTCTTGGGTATGGCAAGATTTTGTCAGATTTGGATACCTAATTTTGGACTCATAACAAAACCCGTATACTTCTCCTGGAAAGAAAAAGAGTCTGACCACTCTTTTTGAGGAAAATTAGAGTAACAGACCTTTCACAAATTAAAGCAGGCCTAACTAGAGGTCCTGGCCTTAGGATTGCCAGATTTGCATAAACCTTTTGAATTGTTTGTACATGAGCATCAGGAAATAGTGGCTGGATACTCAGTTCCTGAGACGTTGGAGAAGGCCAGTGGCATACTTTTCCAAAACTTTAGATTCGATGATACAAGGCTGGCCTGCCTACTTGGAGGTGATGGCAGTAACAGTGAAGATCTTAGAACAGATCATCCAGGTTTACACTGCTCATTCAGTCCCAACAGTCTTAGATCAAAGACTACCCACTGGCTGCCCCAAGCAATATCAGGCCTCCTTGGTAGACAACCCAAGTGTGCAAATCTAGCCAGCAACTAGCATAAACCAAGCTACCCTATTGCCCACTTCACCTCAAGAAGACTCCATTCATTATGATTGTGTCAGACCCCTTGAACTGGTATATGCCAGCAGGCCAGATCTCTCTGACCAGATTGTGTTAATCAGATCTCACCTATTTCATAGATGGGAGTAGCTTTCTGAATAATGGATAACAGAAGTTATGCAAAACCTCTACGTAGAAAAAAAATTAAACATTGTCAAGAGATTTCTCTAAAGGTTATCTAAATGAAAATATATTTTTTCATTCAGTGGAACTCAATATTATAAAAATTGCTGTTTTCCCCAAATTGATTTATTAATTAAAATCTTGATAAATATCCCAAAGAGTATGAATGTGTGTGTGTGTGTGTGTGTGAAGCTAGGCAAGCTGATTATAAAATTTATATGTAGTGCAAACAGTTAAGAAGTTAAGACACTGTTTTTTTGTGTTTTTTAATGCCATAGTAAAATTTCATTCAGATAAGAATTATCAAAGGATGCTAAACATGGAAGGGGAAGGTTTGAAGAGGAATAGTATGTTTACATGAGCTCAAAGTTTCTTCGCCACAAATTATCCATGAAATGAAAAAGAAAAATAGTAATTACACAATCCAGAAAGTGGACACCACCTTACTCAAGTGATCAAAATTAACAAAACCAACAAGAGGCAAAGCAACATTCTATGCCCCTGAAAGTGATACCTGGAGAAAGAGACATCACTTACAGTATTTCAACCCACACTGCATAACCTGACTCTAATCAAGAAAAAAACATCAGAAAAATCCAAACTGAGGGATATTCTATACATTAACTGGCCCATACTCTTCAAATGGGAGCTCTGGTGACATAGTGCCTAAGGCATGACTGCTAATCAGAAGGCTGGTGGTTCAAACCCACCAGCCACTCCTCAGAAGAAGACTGGGCAATCAACTTCTGTAGTGATATCTCCTCAGAAACCCAAGGAGGGGTCACTTACGAAACACAAAGAAAGGCTGAGGAATTGTTCCAGGTTAAAGAGCCATGATGATACAACATGTGATCTTAGACTGAGTCCTGCAGCTGAGAAAAAAAATGAACAGTGCAGTAACAAATTAAATTGGAATATGGACTGTGAATTAGATGAATGTATTGTGTTGTTGTTGTTGTTATGTGCCATCGAGTTGGACCCAGAACATAGCGACCCCTCCTTGGGTTTCCAAGGTGGTATCACTACGGAAGTAGATTGCCCTACCTTCCTTCTGAGGAGTGGCTGGTGGGTTTGAACCCCCAGCCTTCTGGTTAGCAGTCAAGTCCCATGGACACTACGTATTGTATGTATCATTGTTAAATCCCTGAATTAGGTAACTGTACCATATTTAGGGGGAGCTCTGGTGGCAAGGTGCCTAAGGCATTTGACTGCTAATCAGAAGGCTGGCAGTTCAAACTCACCAGCCACTCCTGGGAAGGAAGATTAGGCCATAGAGATACCACCTTGAAAACCCAAGGAGGAGTCACTGTGAGTTAGGATCAACTCCATGGCAGTGTTTTTTTTGTTTGTTTTTTGGTTTACCGTAATTAGGTAAGATGCTATGGTTATTCTTATGAAGTACACATGTAGTATTATTAAAGAATAAAGGGCATGGTGTCTGCTACATTCTCTCAAATGGTTGAAGGAAAAACTATATACATCAAAGAGAAAAAATGATAAAGCATATATGGTAAAATGTTAAAAATAAAAAAGGGGCGGTGGACAGAACAATGTATATATTTTTGTTCCAATTTAAAATATCAAAACAAATATATACATATACTAAAAAAAATAATAGTATTCCTCCCTCCCTCCTGTCCCCATTAAGAGCTGATTAGGTGGTTGACATCAGGTTGTAAAGACACAAAAACCTCCTTCCTCTCAATCTTCAGCCCTATTCTACAGAGATAAAAACTACTAATAACTTCCAGATGTTTTCTGTATGTATAAACTCTCTATATATGTAAGTTTTGATTATTCAAACAAATGAGTATATAAAATTAATAAATGTTTTATTGGTAGTACTGGTGGTTCTGTGGTTAAAGTATTGGTCTGCTAACCAAAAGGTTAGTGTTTCAAACCCATTGGCAGCTCCATGGGAGAAAGATAAGGCAGTCTGCATCTGTAAAATTTACAGCCTTGGAAACCCTGTGGGGAAGTTCTATTCTGTCCTTTAGGGCAGCTATGAGTCAGAATCAACTCCATGACAGTGAGTTTTGGTTTTGATTTTGATTTATTGGTATTTAACTTGTTT